TAAGTCTCTTCCACGTGTAATTGAAACCAGCTGAGGAATCGTGTCTCTAAAAAGGGGGATGTCAAAGAGTAAACACAAACTTAAATATAGCAATATGAATTCAACAGTTATACATGTAGAATACTTGTCTTTGTATTCACTCGCCAATACAGAACAAAGCATACATCAAATTGATTTGGTTTGCTTTCTTTTTTACTTTCCTTTTAGCTAAATTCCATGCCAGAAGTTACATGGTGTGCTAAAGCACTGGCCTTTTGTATTTGGAGGTCTAGGTTCAAATCCACTCGATTAATTTGTCCCCTCGATGTGGTCATTTGCACGTCTCCAAATCACCGTGTAACTTGACTTAGTTATAGCTTGTGCCTGAGGGGCTAAACCTAACATGTGTCTCTCACTCCTGGACTGAGGTGCATTTCTAAGTTTGAAGTACTCTCCAAAAAGTGTCTTGAATCATGAATCAATCACACACACACATATATATATATATATTCATATATATATATATATGTATATAACCTGAGAAACCCATGGAAAAAAATAAAAAAAGGTCAGACTGAAGGGCTGCCTGGCTCATGCCATGACTATTGTTTAATGGTCATTTTTACAGTAGGGAAACCTGCCATTACATATCTCGACGTATCGAGGTCACTAGGCAGAAGCTTAAGGAAACAGGGTAAAATTACCGAGGTGTGAACATTTAAATGCGTGCATACACATACATGTATATAAAAGAATGCACAGGAAGAAAAATACCGGTGTTTCAATACATATGTCCATGTAATTCTACACACTAAACAAAGCATCGTGAAAATTGCAAACAAATTGCAAATACGCTGCTGCAGAATGAAAGCGAGTGAAGGGAAGGGTTTCTTAGATTAATGCGTGAACAGCTGCATCCCCAGTTCAGTCTGCTGGCTGGTATGAATAATGGATGGGCTAAGAGGCAAAATGCACAATAATGTTCTTTTATTAATGAAATGAATATATATCTATATTTGGTGGCCAGCAGTAAATTAAGACAAGTGAAAAGAAATACAGTCACTGCTTGCATTCATAAAATGCAGTTACTTCAATCCAATAATTACTGACCTGACAGAAAACATCACCCCACAGCTAAAATAAGGTGCTTCCCACTGCAAATCCAACATATATATCAAAGCGGTTTTAGTTTTGAATGTCTGTTCATAAACATAGAGTTCAGTCTTTTCCAAGAAAAAAGAATTTGCGTGGCTCAGGAGTCCTGCACCATCAAGACATAGAAATGAGGAAGAAGACACTCCCTGTGGCAAAATCCTGGGAAAAAAAAAAGCTAACTGCACCTTAGTATGTAGGTGACAGAAACAATTATTTTAAAATAATGCTCCATTACTTCAAATTAAATGCATTTCCAAAAATGGCTTGTTAACCATTTGGTACCGGGTGTCAGGATTACTAAATGTTGATGCAAAATACATTAGTGCTTAATGAAGTGCTTCAGACCCATCAGCACCAAACTATTAGAGGCAATCCACTTATCTGCTGCTGGATAAGAAGCTCTACATTTCCTCATATGGATTGTCAGAGGACAGCCGCATATCTTAAATAAGAAATGCTACCCTTACATTTTAGTTGCCATTACTATCATATAGTGCTCAAAGTTCTCACTCTCTCACCTTGAGCCAGGAAAAAAAAAATGTCAAAATGTGATAATGAAAATCTGGGATTTGCAGCCCTGTGAAGCATAAGTGCACTTCAGATCCACTTATTATTTATTGAAAGAGTAGCTTAAAGTAGAAATGCCCTGGAAATCCATAATGGACTGGTTCATGCACCAGCGAACCACCCAGCTGAATAGTAGATGAAATAATAAATCTATTAAACCAAGGCAATGCGTATAAGAGGCCTTTGTTACAAAAACAGTAATAATAATGAAAAAGCTGATTTTTGGAATATGCCCACGTGCACAAGAGGATACAGAAGGTGAAAAGTGCACTTACGAAACACACGTGGTCATTACTCAAATGTATCTTACCATCATCTCCCTTGCATTCCAAAGCATTAATCCATCGTATTTTGAAATTCTGTAGAGGTAAAAAATAACCGTGACCTCATTAAATGAAAACTTTGCAGAGTGGCCGTACCACCTGGTGGCATAATAGACACTGGAAGTGCAAAATGTCATCGTAACGATGGGCAGCATAAGCCCAGCCTTGCGAGTTCTGTGGGGCTTGTGAGTGCTCTGTGGCCAGAGCTGACCCCTTTTGTGGTTCCAACTTGTGATACACTAAGTGTTAGAATATGAGCTGTGTATTTTTGCTTTCAGTAGATAAATACTCCCTTCTTTAGCTGTCTGTGACTTTATACATTTTTATTCAATAAGCTCTTCGGGTGAGAAAGGCTCTGAGTGTCTCTCAGCCCAGGAGAGTAACCCACAATAATGCCCCCGAGTCCACAAGCATGCCTTTATAAAGATGAATTAGATCAAATTCAAGGGAGACTTGGGATAAAAATGTAAAGAAAAACATAGTCTCAAAATATCTCAGGAAGTTTCTGAAAGGTTAGGAAGCCAGAAATATTTGGTCCTACAAACTACAGCATAGGGTGCTGGATTAGGTGGGATCATCAGATTTTTTTCCTTAACATTTTTGATTAATGAGGCAGGAAGTGCCTTTATGTATATTTAAACAAATGTATTTAAACAAAAGCACACAAAGCTTCTCCCCAAATAGTAGAAAAGTAGTATGGTGGGGTTTATTTTTTAAAAGACATCTTTAAAATGATGTCCTGATATTTAATTAACTAGATAGTTCAGCAATTTCGTAATTTTGTCCTATAAAAAAGCAATACCCTAGGTTAGATTTTTAAAAGAATCTTTTATTCAAGGGTATTCACTTCTGTGTAACTTATCTAATTTTAAATACCTTCAGTTTTTACATATACATTTACCATTCTCATGTGGCAGATTTTAAAAATAAATTTTGAATTTAATACAAGTATTTTTATTTATTTGGCCAGAAATGTTTTAACTTTCTCAGAGGAGAGTATCTGTTACCACAGGATGATGTGATGTGGTTTAAACTTTAAATAAATGCTTATTTCCTGTAAGCATAAAAAATCTTTTAAATGGAGATCTGTATTTTATAGAATGGTAATATATGCCATTCTTTTCAATTTTCACACAGAATTACATACTGTATGCAATATTTTCACTGTGTGTAAAAGATCTAGGTATTCTTCTGTTTCACATTAAAAAATAATCAAAACCTGAATTAGTTCAAGGCTAAGAAATGTAGAAGGCGTTGAAAATACTAATTAGAGCTCTCAACCGAAAGATGAGCAGTAAACAAAGAAATGCGCAGCAGATGAGAAGTGTTGGATTTTGTAGCAGTTGTTCTTTAAAATGCAGGGATGAACTTATTGAAGTTAATTATTTTACCCCTTTAAGGTAGTGCTGTGGAGGCTCTAGCCACAAAAATAATAGTTCAGCAATTTAGCCTAACTAAATCCATTTGCTATAGTAGCTCTGTACTCTTGTCCATCTTTCTGTCTCTATTACATCATTATTGAATGCTGATTGCATTATTTTAGAGCAGAGATTGCTATAATGCTATTCTGCACTGGTATGATGGATTTAGTTTTCATTTTGTTCTCAAAAATATGTTGGCTATAAATACATCTCTCCTCTCCTGTGAGGCTTACACTATAACTGGTAAATTTTCTAGAGAAATCAGTCATGTATATCTCAAGAGAAAACAATAAATCCTTTGAAGCAGAATAACCTTTTGGCTGCGTTCTTTTAAATAGAGATTTTCATATGAGGGACAAATTTTACAAGCCTTAGCAGTTAAACCTGTTCAGTTCTCAAAGTTACCTTTGCCTCCAGTGCCATGATCAGATATTTGTTTGCATTTTGTATGTCATCTTACTAGCTACCTGCCTTTTCCCAGTTTGCTTTTTCCAAAAAAAATCACAGGCCGTGTTTTAAGAAGGCAGCCCTGCTTCAGAAGGCAGCTAACTATGTGTCAAAGTGCTCTTGCTGAACCAAGGCCATCCTGTTGAATTTGTAATTTTGCAGCGTTTTCAGGAACTGCAGTCTAATACCCTGTAATCAAGAAAACAGCAAAACCCAGACCCATGCTTGAAATCATTGGCCAGAGTTGGGCTGCCCTTACCTGGGTGGCAGTTTCTCCCTATAAATGTGCTCAGACAAAGCAGAAGCAAGGATGTGGCTAGAAGTCACAGCCATCTTAGTAAGACTTGCATACTCAATAGTGGCAGAAACTGATGAAAATATAAAGCTCATCAAGTAAACATTCTTCTTCCCCATTTCTAGATACTCTAGATAGACCCAGATAAAATTAGCAGAGTGTTTAATTTGATAGACCTTGGTTAACAGGAGGAGACAGGGTGGTCAGGCTAAACGGGTCTTCCCGTCAGAGCTCTTCAGCATTCTCCCTAAGAACATCCATTGAGCGGCATGAGGAGGTGTCAAAGAGCTGGGCTAGCTCCCTTCGGTGTTTGTTTTCTTCTCTTGTCTGACAACTTCATCACAATCCATCTTTGTTAGCCGATTGCACTGACTTGAACATGGGTGAGTGTGTATCAGCCTTCATTAGGTCAAATCAAAGACAAGCGTACATCTCTGCCTGGCCTGTAGAAACAGATTTATACTTTGAGAAGGGTGGGGGGAAGGTCAGTTGGCATTTGGCTTGAAATTTGAATCTATTAAGGGATGAAATTAATAGCATCCAGAAGTAGAACATATGGCATCCATATATATATGGTACTGTATCTGCTTGATGATGTCACGCTACCTCTTAAGGTTTGGGAAATGCACTTTTTAAAGCATTTAGCTATGTTGTGGGCTAAACCTTTCAGACCTGAGACAGAACAGGTTTAATTTGGTCTGAACATTTATTAACCCTGGTATTTGCAGGCCACATAAAAACTCATGGTTTTCATTAGCTTTGCATTTCACACACAGCCTAATTTCATTTATTCTTATTTTATGCCCCTGCCAGACCACCGCTCTTGATAAGGAGAGGCAGGTTTTCCGACGAAGACGCAACCAGGATGTGAGGGGACGTTATAAGGCACAGCAAGCTCCACCTGAACTCAACTCCGAATCGGAAGACTATTCACCAAGTTCATCCGAGACTGTTCGCTCACCTAACTCACCCTTTTAATAAAACACTTTTACTCAAAAGTCTTGGCTTTAACCCTTTGAGACCCTGAAAATCCTCCAGACCTGTGTGAAGTGATTACAGCTGATCTATCCAGCAGTAAACGCTGGGATGGTGGAACACAAAAGGGTGCTCACAGAATCTTTGTAAGAATAATTTCCTAATTGATTGAAATACTTGTTCTCTGTTTAGATTGCAACTTGCTGCTAATATGATCCTCAAAGGGTTAAGGCTATTTTGCTTTTTTATTTAAAGATAGAAGCAGTGAATGTTTTCATCAGTGAAGCTAGGAACTGCAGTATGTAATTTTAGCACGTTAACCCTCTGAGTAAACGATCGACTTAAATCTTGACAACCCACATTAGGGCTTTATTCTGGCTTTTTTGCTTTTATACGCACATATCTTTTATAGTACCCCAAAGTTCCTTGCCTGTTTCTGGCCAAAACAGTATCAAACGCACTATTGCTTAGGGGTTACAAATATAGGCTTTAAAAATGAAAATAAAATTAAACAAACAGTATCTTCTGCAGCAGCTCATTCTAAACCTGCATCATACTTCCACAGGGAGTGACTGTTGTTGGAGGGTATTATGCAGGCTAAATGGGAAATTCAGTTTAGGGCAGCCTCATAGTTTACAGAAGATGACATGATGATGGCCACAAAAGGTTGCTCCCATATCGTTTGCTGCTAATGACAATGCAGAGTCTTGGGAAATGGCTTGAGGACACGTTCTGTCATGTAATGGTATGTAATGATCTAGTTGAGAAGTTCCTGGTTGCTTTGCCTCACATTCAGAAATGTACAGGCATCCTCTCAGCATGACCTGATTATTCCAGGAGAGTCACTTTTAAAGATTAACATTGATGAAAGTTACCCTTAAAATAGCTAGAGTATTTCTAAATCGGGGAAAGTACCAGTCATTTAATGTATATGTAAAGCCTAAACTGAATTAGTAGAAGTTTTGTCGTAGAATGGAGAAACTAAAAATGATTCACCAGTTCTATTTGTAATATTTAATAAAATGGGCATTTACATGGAGTATACATATTTCTGGTTTGTTAAAACCTCAACACAGCATTATAGCATTTTATTTAACCATTATCCTAAAGTTGGTGTCCACAGAAATATTACGCTTCGTAAACTTTTGCTTCAGATGTGATGATTTGGAAGAGAAATTATTATAAAATGACTTGGCATTTCACTTGAATGAAAAAGGCAACTTCCAAAATCCTATTCTAAAATAAAAAATAACATTATGAAATTTATACTTTCTCTTATTGCTCTTATGAAATGGAAGTTTTCTCCTCTAAAGTTAAAATTCTCTCACAGTGTTTTTAAAAAGTCACATAAATGTCATTTCCTCTCTCTCCTTGCCCTTTTTCTCTCTTTCATATCTTACAGCTAGAAGCATATGCTGCCCAAAAATATATGCAGACTTTTCCGATCTCACAGGGCAATATAAATAATTTTGGGAGGAACAGGGCAAGTTGCCCACAGTGCCGTTTCCACTCCGAGTTGTGTTTGTTCATGGAACTGTCCCTACGAGCAGGTGTGGCAGCAGATGCATACCTGCAGCTTGCTGGAGCTAGTGTGATGGTCTTTCGCATTTCTAGCTGGAAGCATCAGTTGAAACGTATTGCAAGAAATGTTGACATGGTTTTGTTTCTCCACCCTTTAAAATGCATCCTTCATTGTCTCAGTCATGAAAATTCATATCTTAAAAGGTCTGAAGATTTCAAATACAGGAATTTCATCTTGTGAGTCTTCACACAAGTGGTACAACTATTTCCTACAGAATGCAATTAATTTCACCCAATATTAATAATCTAGAAGTGAGACATCTAGTCAAAACTAGATCTCCAGACTTCCTTGGTAATACAGAGAGAGAAGCATTTCCAGGTCGGATTCATCTCACCCATCATGGGCGTGAATTTTGGGCAGGACTCGTGCTTTGATTCACCTATTTCTGTCACTTGATTGACTGTAGAAGGAACTGATGGTGGAAGCTTACATCAGATGCCAAACTTGAGATCATGAGTTTAGTAGAATGAATCTCACCCTAAGCCACCAGGAGACTGATCTCTGAACGTATATCCATAGGCAGAAGGCCTGTGCATGGCCTCAGTTACTCTGGAACCTGTCACCCAAGTGAAGCAAATCAGTGTCGTCTTGTAGAATTCCAAAGGGTAAAGGAACTGCCATACAAAGTTCTCAGATTGTAGCGTTTCAGAAAGGGCTGCCTCTGTGGCAGATCCTTGACAATGCCCGTTGAACCTAGAATCAATGCAGAGAGCAGACCCTTGGTAGACAGGGCACAGACACCACCACTGTGATGCTAAAGGCTGTAGTCTGATAACATTTGGGTAGGACAGGAATTATTTTTCCATGTGACCAAACCTTCAGCTGAGGTAAATCCCCCCTTGCCACTTACCTGCAACAATTTACAGTAGATCAGGACCTGGCACATGTTTTTTCAGCATTGCTCTCCCCACATCATATCACAGCCTTCCCTTTAGAAGAGATACAATTCAACCATGTAAATGCAAGACATACATTTTGGTAATAAAAAAGTGTCCATTAATACCACATGCTCTTGATGATTGGGAAAATTTGGCAGTCTTAAAGCAAAGGCTGATGTTCATTCTTCTTAATTAGCAAGAGAAGTCAGGAGGGGAAAAAAAAAAAAGCTTCACCTTATGCATGAGAAATATTCAAAAACCCGTCTGGGTTTTTCCTTTGCTTTACTTTGGAATACAGGGTTATCATTAAAATAAGATGTTTGGCTCCTTCATCTTACAACATCTTGTGTTACTTAAAATGTATGTAAAAATAATCCTAGATCCTGAAATCCCTACTCATCCCTAACGTCTCACACGGTTCTGATCTTTGGTTTATGTTTTACGAACATAACTATAGAAATATTTATTTTAAGTTATTTTTAGATCTGTGAGAGATTTGGTTTCAAATTGCTGATAGCCTCTTTTTAGGCTTCAAGGAAAGGTATCTGAATATTTAAAGTGGTTTCCATGATGGTTTTAAATATATCCATATATATTTTTAAATATAACCATATATATATATGTATGGTTTCATGGAAATAATAATGGTTCAGTCTTGTTTGGCAGCAACTGCCCCTTTTCTTGTCTAACCTCTGAATTCCTAGGGGTAAGTGAAGACAGAATACGTGGACCTAAAAATTCTTGAAACACCAATGAAAAAAAGAAATCAAAGATAACAGACTATTTCTAATGTGATAATCTGGGAGAGCACATAGCACACTGTGGTCATTTTACTGTAATACATACCAGTCCTCCAGATTTCTTTCTTCCTTTCCCTTTTGAATCATTGCATTGTATTGGTGCTAAATTTGACAATATTTTTTTTTTTTTTTTAATGCTTATTACATATACAAGGCCAACTTCCTCCCACCGAGCCTATGTAGTTAGCTGAGACGTATGGCAGTTGTGATAGGCACTGTCTATCGCGAAGGAGATGGAGAGAAACACTTCAAAAGGGTGATTCAGGTCATTTAATATTTGGTCTCTGGAGATGCCTGTCAGTCTGATCTTAGAGTAGAACAGGGTCACTTCCAGATTGATTCCTCTCAATTAAATGTAAGTGGGGATAACGTGGACTCCAACCTAAGTGCAATATTGTAGTGAACTTACGTGCAGTAAGCAAACTTTGATGTGAAAATGTAGTACTGATAGGTGATAGCACAGGATTAGTTAAATGGTACCGAGCTGGGTGTTGTCTCATCTAGATGTATCCGTCTAAGAGTTAAGCATCTAATCTAGGGCAATCATCTAAACTTCCCTTATAGTTGCTAGAGACTGGCTTCTCTAGTGGATAATTAAAATTATAGGATGGATGAATCGCTCACTAGATGAGGTGCCTAGCCCAAATATATTTAGAGCATGATTTATTAAGTCATGACATATAAATGAATATTTCTGTAAGTTACAATTTTCATAGCATTAATGTACAAAAAATCCAGAATACTACGGTTCTACTCAGAGGGTTAACAGAAAAGCACTAGGCATGCTGATTACATTGGTGTACCCAAACTGCTTTGCTTTTTTAGCCAGTGTTTGCTGATTTTTTCAGAAAATTCTTGAAAAATTTCAAGTTTGAAATAATTTAAGTGTTGTTGTTTAAGGAATTTCTATAACCAAATTAATCTTATTTTTAGCTTAACTTATCACAGGAATAATATGTATCATTGATGCAGTGTAAGTCTGTAGTTATCAATTTTATTAATTCCACAAGTGATTCCAGAAATCTCTCTTTTTTTAAGTACTTACTATAGAGCTTACAATGGTGGCATAGGTGACTGAGACTGTCTTTCTTATTGGTAAACAAACAATATTGTAATTTCAAGAAAGTCCTAAGAATCAGCTTTTCAGTTTGGTAGTGTACTAGTTAGGGGAAAGCTATCTCATGACATGCATTGTGTAAATCATCTTTGTAGATGAAGATTGTTCATATTAATGAACACATTCTTTTTCCTTGACATTGTAGCAGAAACTGTTTACTTGTTAATGAACAACCAATACATTAATTTGCTTCAGACTGTTAGAGGGGAAAGTGAGATTCCAGTCATTGACAATGTTATTGCTTTACAGTAGCCCTCATCTAATTTAAATGTGGTGCATACTACAATAAGCAAAGCCAAACCTGTGAATAAACTCCTGAAAAAGCCTGGTGGGTCTTTATTCAGTTGGGTGCTCGCATACAGCGGTGTGGGGCAGCAGGAAGCCTTTTCAGAATTGTCGCAATGAAAGCGATATATCCACAAATAAGAGCTAAATTGCAATCCTTTCCCTATGGGGCATATATGTTTAAAAAGAAAAAAAAAAAAAAAAGAGAGAAGAAAAGAAAAGAAAAATTGGCTCAGAGGTTTGCAGTGCTACTATATTACCACAGGGCAAGTACATTAAATCATTGTTATTTGCTAGCCTGGGGTATATGTTAGAAAATGGCATCTTTTTTATTTAGTTTA